CTCCCCCCCCCCCCCCCCCCCTGGCAGGACACTACAAGAGACTTGGAGTGCCTTCGGAGAATGAAGCTTTTGGCCAAGTGTTTAAGAAGGAGGTGGACGCATGGGCCCAGAAAGAAGAAGAGACATAGAAGGCAGGCGTTGGGAACGTAGAACTAGAAAAGGAGTTCACTGAGGACGAGGTTGAGGCGTGTGTGAACAAGTTGAAGTGCCACAAAAAGCAGCAGGGGCGGATGGGATAGTCAAAGAGTTCATGGAGTTTGGAGGGAAGGGGATGATCCAGTTGATGGTACTGCTGTACAACTGGGTGTGGAAAAACGAGTATGCGCCAAGTAGATGGAGGGAAGGAGTGTTTTGTAAGTTGCTGAACGATAGGATAGTGGGAGTATTGGAGAAGGAACGTAGCATTAGTGAGGGCCAGGCAGGTTTCCGACAGAAGAGGGGGTGCGTAGACCACGCATTCACGGTGGGGAGAATCATCCAAGGTAGAAAGGGGGCGGGAAAGCCGACGTACTGCTTCTTCCTAGACGTGAAAAAGGCATACGATACCGTATGGAGAAATGGGCTGTGGAAACAATTGTCCAAGTACGGGATCAAGGGGAAAATGTGGAGAGTGCTGAAGAAGATGACAGAGTGTACGAAAAGCGCGGTCATGCTAGACGGAGAACTGTCTAAATTCTTCGACATTGAGCAGGGGGTCCCACAAGGTTGCACGCTGTCCCCAACATTGTTCCAGGTGTTCATCAACGGTCTGTTGGAAGTCGTAGAGGCAGTCCGGAAGGGAGTAAAAGTAGGGGACACGGAAACTTCGGTGTCAGGAATGCTGTTTGCGGATGATTTTGTTGGCATGTCGGACACCCCTGAGGGACTGCAACTGCAAATTGACGCGGCGAAGAAGTTTACTGATGAATGGAGATTGTCTGCCAACGTTGCGAAGAGTGCCGTCATGGTATGCAACGAGGACAGGGAGGAACCAGTAGAACATAGATGGAAGTGGGGGATCGAGGAGATTGCAGTAGTGGACCAGTACACATACCTCGGAGTAGAGATCGCAAACGACTGTTCGTGGAATGCACACATGTCCAAGGTAGCGGAAAAGGGCAAAGCACGAGCAGGGAAGCTACACCCGATACTCGCGAACCGGCACCTTGATACACGCATCAAATTGACGGTTTTGAAGAGCGTAATCGTACCGCCGCTAGAGTACGCCGGAGAAGTATGGGAAGGAAATAAGAAGGTAGTGAAAGAACTCGAGGCGGCGCAGATGAAAGCAGCGAAAATCATCCTAGGATGCTCCAAGCGCACAAGTAATGCAGCCGTAAGGGCAGAATTGGGGATCCAATCCCTACGGTCGGGAAGAGACGCAAGGAAGCTGACATGGCAGTATCGCATGTGCGGGATGGGAGAGGAGAGGTTGCCGAGAATAGTATGGGAGGCGAAGTGGGCAAACAAAAAGAGGGGTAGACAACCCACGGAATGGGTCAAGGTTGTAGAGGACGTATGGATTGGGCTAGACATCGACGAAGATGAAACGCTTGAAACGGAGGGTCTACAGGGGTTCAAGGAGAAGATATCTGTTGCTTGTGCCGAGAGAGAAGAACGGAATCGAAGGGAAAAAACCAAGGATAAGGAGGGTCTAGAAGTGTACGGAATGTTGAAAGAAGGAATAGGGTTCAAGGATTACCTACATGGACCAATGGATGCAGGGACAAAGCTTAAGGTCATATTCAGGACCGGGGACATAGACCTTCGAGAACGTCGACGAAGACATAGGACGGTAGACGACGAATACGACAAGTTCAAATGTGATTGCGGCTTCGAATGCGAAGACCGTGTTCATGTAGTCGCGGAATGTCCGTGGTACGAAGAGGAGAGGGAAGTGTACATGACTGAGCTGGGAAAAATACAAGGGACGTACAGGGAGATGTTTGAGGCATGGGATAGACAGGAGAGGACGGTAGCTGTACTGGGGAGTAGGAAGTGGTTTGAAAAGCCGGGAAGGGATATCTTTAGGATAGACAAACTAGGGAAGACATTTTTGAGCCACCTTTGGCAAAGTAGGAAGGAACGATTGGCCATCGGTGATCGGTCCTGTGGGAACAATGCTCCGTCCTCTCGAGGACGCGTGGTCAATGGTCTAACCGCTAAGACATGCAAAACATAAGAGAACGCCCCCCTCCCCCCCCCCAGTGTTTGCCATCGGGGTTGGGTTTTCATCGCTTGGCAACGACGTTGTAGAAGGAGCAATTCACTTCGTGAGCCCGGCAACCAGGTTACCGGGGTATTTTTGCCTCTTTTTTTTGCGGTTATCATAATGTTGGTCGAGTACATCATGTTGTGCGGGGTGGAGAAACCTGTCTTCACGCAAGGGGGATGATCGTACCACGTTGTGTTAAAATGGTCAAGCATCCTCGAGGCAGTTACACACACAGTGCTTATGACTGTCTCTGGAAGTGAACGCACCAGAAAATAAATTAAGTCATACGTAGCTGTCATCCGTACGCAAGGAAGTAAGCACAAGATTCCGAACACCCTTAGCAGGATGCAGCGCACCCTTCATGCGACTCGCCGAATACCTCACGGCACTTCGCGCTTGGCGGTGAGAACCCGGCGTGCTCCGTCCCGGCTTTGTAGTGATGCGAGGTCAATGGTCTAACGACTACGGAATGCACGACTATGAGTACACCCCTCCCCCCCACCCCACCCCCACGGACCCCGATTTTCGATTAATGGGCCTATTTGTCTTGGACTTTTTGCTCACGTTGACCCTTGGTGTGTGTGCCCTTTTTCGGTGGTTGGCCCGTGACCACGGAAGGCGTCCGCGCCAGCTGCATCGGTACGGATATATATATACGGTACACTGCTGTGAGCAGAGCCCGGTTTTTGACGTGAAGACAACAACAGCATCGGACCATCAACTCTCCTCACCGGCAGCACAGACTGCAAGAGGGAGACAAGACAGAGAACAACGTGAAATGAAGTGCGCACGAACACCAACTGCTCGCTGCGTGGCCTCACACCACATACATGGCCTTCGCCGGCTGGGGGACACCCAAGCACCAAAGACACTATAATATTAATAGTTGCGTGTGGAGGGCGGGCATGTATCTAAAACAGCAGTTAGTTTCCGAGCTTTAGACTGCAGTGTTTCCACGTGTCGCGCACAGGTCAAGCCTTGGGTCCCCCCGCCGCCCCTTCGCAACGAACGATGCCCGGGCTGTCTATCTATCTAGCGTTTATTTCGTTTCAAGGTCAACACTTAAAAGTGTGTGATCAGTACGAACAAACCAAGGCGCTGGGTAGAGAGATCGGAACGGTTGTTTATGTCGAGACAACAACATCAAAAATAAACACCAATAATAACTATTCAAGCATCGCTTCCTTCTGCCCTACAAACCTATGCATGCATACAACGCCCAGACATTACTGTCAAAGAAGGTCCCCGCTGAGTACAAATGCCCTCGTACAGCAGTACGCGAAAAACAAAAATGGTACAGCAGATCGTACGCTGCTTGAACGAACCATGGGAGCAAAGCACAGGGGAAGGCCGCACGGATGACACGCGTCATCGTGGTGTGCTCCTCTAGCAGCGTTGGCGGTGCACCAACAGATAGCCGTCAAGGGCATTTGTATATG